ATTCATTTGTTGATTATACTTAGGATTATACTTAGAATATTTTCTATGATCTTCTAAGTGATTAGTGTGTGTTGTGTGTGTGATCAAGGTTTGTACAAAGTTTCTAAAAGAAAAGATAAAATTATATCACTCTTGTAAAGTATATTTTCTTCTTGAAGCGCGAAGTGACTTGATTAACTTCATCTTTTGATCTTAGAAATCTTGTTTTGAAATAGCCTTATAACTTGATTGTTGCTTTGAGATGTATATCTTGAATCTGCAGTAAAATATGTTAGATAAACAATGATTTGTTATCATCAAAATACAAGAGATATTGTAACATCAACCATGTTCCCAGCACCTCAAAGCACTAAGAACACATCATAGACGTTCCTCATGCTCCTCCTGGTTCCTCGAATATACTAAAATATCAATATCATGGAAAAATGATCCAAGAAGAACTTGAACATTTTGTTCATGCAGTCCATAAAAAATGCAGGAGCATTTGTTAACCCAAGTGGTAAGACAAGAAATCTATAATGACCATAACATGTACAAAATATAGTCATTGGAATATCTTCAGTCTTAATCTTCAATTGACGATAGCTCGATTGAAGGTCGATTTTAGATTACACTTGAGCTCCTTGTAACTAGTCAAATAAATCGTCAATTCTTAGTAATAAATATTTATTTTGTATGGTTACCATATTCAGCTCTCGATAATCATTTCATAATCATATACGACCATCTTTTTTCTTCATAAATAACACCAGTGTGGCCTAAGGTGAAACATTGGATCCAATAAACCCTTTATCTAGAAGTTCCTGCAACTACTCCTCAAGCTTCTTTAGTTCTACAGAACCATTCTATAAGGGTCCTTTTAGATTGTACTATTTTTGAAACTAATTCAATAGAAAATCCTATTTTCCTATCTAGTGACATTCCAGAATGATCTTTGGAAAGACATATAGAAATTCATACAATATAGAAATTTGATTCAGACTAACTTCTTTCTGGCTCAAGACTTGTAATGATGATGGGAAACTAGTGCACATACTTCATTACGTGATAAGCTTGAAGGGCCGATATAATGCACACATGCTTTGGCATCTTACTACACTCAAAGCAAAATTCTAGTCGTTCAAGAATTCTAAACATCACTTTTTTCTTTCAACACAAGATAGATCATGATTTCTGGATAACCATTCTATCTCTAGAATGACATAATAATCATGCATATCAAGGATGATTAATTATGTTGGAAGCTCTCTATCCATTATCTTTATCTTACTTTTGTTTTATGTATTCCTGGCCTTTTTCGTTCAACATTTATGGAGCTAAGTCCCGGAGATATCAATATGTTATCTCCTAATGTGCTAACATGCATTTCATGTTCTAGAGTATCACATTGCAAGTCTTGCTTCCTAGCAAGGTGGGCTACAATAAAAGAATACAAGCTCTAGAATCAAATAGTACTTGAGCAAAAATAGAATATATATGTATGGTATCCGATACAACATCATTATTTGTCTAAACCTTTGCTCAGTTAGAGAGTAAACTCAAGCTATAGCCTGAGGATGTTGATCACTTTGAGGTGCCTTACGAGTTAGATTTCATTCAATTTAGGACAATCTGCAATATTGTGATCCTTTTAGCCACACATTAGGTAAGCACCAGTCACCCTCTAATTATTTTTGGCATCATGTTAAGATTGTCATGTATGGTGCAATTCATCGACTTCTGGTTAGTCTACTTTCTTTTTGAGTCCACATATTATCTCTTATTTTGCTAATTCTTGGTATGATCCCCATGTCCATTTGATCTAGATCTCTTCTTCATGTCATCATTCTTGCGCTAATCAACAGTGAAAATTTATGTTTGCTCCTTTTTACTTACTAAACCTTTCTTCAATATAGTCACATAAGTAGGTAGCTCAAATGAGCTCACTTGAATCCTTATCTCAGGTTGTAGGCCCTCCTCAAAATGATGTACTCTATTTTCTTCGATTTACAACAAGCAATGATAGAACCTTGGATAAATAAGTGAATTACTCCTCGTACTCTATCGCAATCTTATCATTCTGCTTCAGCTCTTGAAATTTCTTCTCCTTTTGCTGGTGAACGGTGTTTGGAAGTAATTCTCGTAGAAGACTTTCTTGAACTAATCCTAACATATTTGGTCAGCGTCATCCTCCACCCTATGTTGCATTTGTCACCAGCCATATGCACGTCCTTTCAACATATAGATTACATAAGATACTTTTTCTCTGTCAGAACACTTCATATAAGTAAAGACTTTGTTCATCTCAATAATCTAGTCTTTAGCTATCATAGGATCAACACTTCCTTTAACGTAGGTAGTGTCAGCCTCTTGAACTCCACCATACCACTTCACAGTTGAGGATGATCATTGTCTCAATGGTCTTAATGTTGGTAATTTTGTTACTACTGCTTTTGCTCCATAGTGGTGAGATTTTACATCACTTGCTACATAGAATTTCCATCCATTTAATTCATTTTTAGCATTTCCATCCATTTAATTCACTTCTAAACCAAATCCAAGTGTGTTTCTACCTTCAAATATTCACCTCGAAGTTTGGTTCAAATCACTCTTTCGAGTTAAAGAAGCACTCATGTTGTTCCTAGCCATACAGTTATAAAGCCAACAAACAATATGTTAGTGATCACTAAAGACGATTCTAAAACTTATTTCTAAGCACTACTAACTATAAACTTCTAAGCCTAAGACTTCTAAACCCAAGCCCTGATACCACAATTTGTCCTGCCCCAATTGGGTAGAATAATTTGAGATATGTGACAACGATGATACGTGTGAAAACATATGCTAAGCCTGATATGTACTCCTATTACAAATAAAACTTTTCATGAAAGAAATATAATTAACATATAGAAGTTTTAGAACAAAAACTACTTAGTAGCGAGTTGACTCTAATGATACAAAAGACTCTTATTACATAAATACAAAACATCTCTAAGATAACTATCTTCTAGCATCAAAGCCCTCTCTAACAGGTACTCCACACACCCCTAAAACAATGAGTTATAGCTAGAGTTGTCTAGCAATCATTTGAAAAAGATTGAAAATATTAGGCTGAGTTTTCACTTAGTGAGTAGATAACTTATTATTAGTGGATCATAAAAGTTTAAACAATTATTAATACTATTATTTTAAACAAGTTACTAAATAAAAGATGATAGGAAAAATATGAGATATTGAATGAACGAACTTTTCATCTTTATGAGGTGACAATATTATAAAACATGTAATTTTAATAAAACGATACGAATGAACATAAAAATACTTTTAAAATTGTAAGACATATCTATATTAAACTTTGTAAAACTTCCACAGTTATCATGATAGGGCTACTAAAATTATAGCCTAGTATCATAGGAATGCACATCAATCACTATAATTAGCTAGGAGCACATTGTACCAAATACTACCATAATTTGCCCAAAGGTCACTTCACTTTTTGCCAAAAGGCTACTATAACATTGCTTGGAACATTCAATACCATGTGGTAGGCTTAAACAAATCAGTTCACTTCATAGTGGACTTCAACAACTTCTTTCCACTCAAAATATCGCTTGCAAAGTCTACTTGTACAAAAATCAATATAAATGGTTAATACTTTTGCAAACTTTTCTCATCTCTTTCAAGAAAATCTGGACTATTCACTTTTTTGTAGTAATTTAATTATTTTCAGCAAATATGTAACTTTTCAATAAATATCCCAAGAGAAATAATTTTAAACATATTTTTTTGTAATTTGTATATTAAATAATATTTATCTTATTAAAGATAAATAACTACTCAATATCAAATTCTTTTATCAATTTTTCTATAAGTGAAACAGAAATAACTGGTCTGATCCAATACTTTCTCTTTCCTAAAATAAAACTACAATTTAAGACAAAATATATAAGATTTTTTTTTATATCAAATATATTTAATAAATAACTAATGAGAAGAATGTATTCATCTTGACCAATCTGACAAAAGTTTCAAAGAACTGCACTCCAAGAAGCTTACTCTTTTATCAAACCTACAAGGATACAATATGCATAAATACTCTAGTACTAACGATTCTATACATATACCGTTTAGGAATAGTACTAACATTTCCAATTTCTAGATACTTTTCCCAAATTTTGTTTCTGTTCTTTGTTCTTAAACAAAATTCGGACCTAACTCTAAAATTTCTATGCTAAATAAGACTGAAGGTAATTTTACCAAATATTTAATTTTCTATATGTATTTTAGTATGGACTGTAAATTAAATTCTAGAAACTTCGGTGTTAAATGAAAATTTCCTATTTTGCATGCATTTTAGTTTGAACTAGAAATTAAACTCTAGAAACTCTGGGGGTTAAATTGAAATTTCCTATTTCTTCTCCAAATTTCATATCCATTCTCTGTTCATTCCTTTCTATCATCAAACCCAAAGTTAGGATGGGTTCGTAGCCCAAGTGACCACCTCCGATGCCTGCGACCAAGGGTGGCAGAGGCCGTTGAACATCCTCGGAGATGCCGACGGCGGCCGGAGAAGGTATTCTATGTATGAATCTGAAACAAAGAAAAGAAACTAACCTTGAGAAGCTTAACTCCTCCTATATGCTTGTCCCTGGCAATTTGTTGCGTTTTTTTTTCCTTTTCTTTGTATGATGCAAATTGTGGGGTTTAGGTACAAATTATAGGGTTTTCAATGTCACTTTAGCTTTGTAGCCGATTTTCCCATTAAATCTAGGACAATAGCTCTAATAATTTCTCCTAATAAACTCTCCAGCTCTCTTATTTTCTTGTCCTTCGTTTAACTGGGAGAAAAATGGTTCTCGATTACTCTACAATTACGTACTTAAGTAAAATTGAGAAGGGTATAATGATGAGGATCAAACCCTTTTGTTAGTATGTTATTTAATTACCCACCCCATACGAACACTTAGGGGATAATATATGATTTATATATATTGAGATTTTATTGCGATCAAGTACATATCAGAGAAAACATGTTTGCAAGATCTAGATTCTAGTGGTAACAAGTATTCAGATCGAGATCAAAATAGAAATACCAACTTACAATTGACATCTTTATGCAATATGGAAGAAAAGGTGTTTGATACAATAATCCAAGGCAATATATAGAGGGATCGCTACTCTCTGGAAAAAATACTGCATGCGAAATCTAGAAATCCAATGCCCCCATTACATCCCAAAAATCCTTAATACACATCACATAATATGTATTTTTTCCCCCTTTGTTGTATATTCATCAGTCACGTCGTAAATAGATTTTACCATCTAAATGCCTCTCCATATGTTCTTTGTTGGTGTTATTCATCTTATCATGTCGAAGTCGAGTCAAATAATCAGACGTCGACGAGGAGTGTCCCGAGGGGAGAGGAGATTTTGAGGGAGAATCTATCACCCATCTGCAGGAATAACACACATGTAAAGAAATGAAGAATAGTACTAAATGTATTCAGAAGCCTGCAAATCTTTGCTTGCTGGAAGATAATCAAGGTGAATTTGAGAAAACTATCATGAATTATTTCATTAAACTACCATGTACGATGGAGATTACGTTGAGTTGTTGCATTCTTATATAATGCTGTTAGCGAGAATTTTCAAATAATTTACAATTTTCTATTAGTAGTTTTGACAATATTTCATAGTAGTTTTTTCTAAATTAAATATTTTGCAGAAAACTCTCCAAATTCAGAATAACGTTTGCGATTTCACCTTATTAGTTCCAGCACTAGAAAAGATTAACAACGAAAGATCTTATTGACATACCCTGCTGGAAATTTGCTATCAGCACGAGCTTCAGAGCGGATCCACCAAACCAATATCTTCTTCCCGCAATTTCCAAGAGGCTCAACGTAAGAAGCATCTTTGAGCAGAGCTAGAGGGCTCTCTATCTCCAAATCATCAATATTCTGAACCCAAGTTGGTCTTTCTTCAACATTCTCCCATAGCAATCTTGAACTCAAAACAAATCCAGCCCATTCGAGCTTATTCGATGAAGGATCCAAGGTTTGCATGCCAACGAACTTTCCTGATGGAGTGCATTCTGGGCCTTGAATTGGAATTGAGTGGTTTTCTTCTTCGATGTCTGAGTGAGTGAGGAAACCGACAGATATCGCTCCTATATGTTTCACCTTTTGTATCTCGTCGAACATCTCGGTACTGTGGATGTTGCTGTCATCGGCGAACACCACAATGCCATCCATTTTCTTCTCCCTCACCACCCTGTAACAATTCCAATCAAATTAGAATTTTGAATTTATTATTATCAGTTAAATCAGGATTATTTCGAAATAGTACCCTTGAACATTCTTACCTCAGAGCGTGCAGACGCATCCGAGCTTCCATCTTCCTCCTCTCACCCCACTCCATCGGCATCTTCTTCCCCTCGTCGAACGGAACATGCACATAATTAAGATGAGAACGATCAAGAATCGAAGCGGTCTCATTCGACACGCCACCGGCCTCAACAACAAGCCAAGTGAAATCAAACGGCACGAGCATAAGAGAGTGCATCAATCCGGTAAGATACATCGCCTGAAAAGTCCTAACATAAGTCGGGGTAATTACAATTAAAGGCTTAGGCTTCTTGATCCCGTAATAGACCGTCCTCTGCTCTTTCTGCACTCTCTCAATGAGGCGGTGGGCCCGCATTGTCTGGTCTGGGTCAGGGTGGGGCACGGACGATGAGGATCCCCCGTGGCCGCGCCGCGGCGACCCGCGCTCTGAGTTTTGTTATTGAGGAGGAGGTAAGAGGGGGAGCGGTAGAGGCGTTTGGGTGAGAGTGGTGGTTGTAGTGGTGACGGTGGTGATTGATTGGTTGGTGGAAGAGGAGAGAAGGAGGAAAGAAGACTATGCGGGACTAAGCGGAAGCGTGAGCGATAAGGCTGATAATGGCAGCCAGAGGAAGTGGAGGACGGAGGTAGGAATACTTGTGCGGGAGATGGCCTTTGGGCTGGTGCGTCTCGGCCGGAGAGGAGACTGTTGGTGCGCGGCGGGAAGTAGTTTGGGAAGAAGGGATAACTTCATGGTTCTTGATCTCTCTCTCTCTCTCTCTCTCTCTCTCCTCCTCTATTGAGTCATAAGATTGAAGGATGAAGGGAAGAGGAGAAGTTTGGTAGTTGAATTTGGTGGTGATAAGAAAAATGTGGGTTGGTTGAGGGGTCAGAGATAGTAGGAGGAGTATAGTTTAAGTACATTAGGGGGGTGATTTTTTTTGAAGGAAGTTGTTGCTTTTTAAGATTTGGTGTCTTTGGTTTGGTGGAGGAGAGGGAAAGGATACTGGTTTTATAACTTGTGTCGACAAGGAGTTGGGCTGAATGTCGCGGTCGGCTCACTCTAAGCTCCCGAGTGAGCTGATTATGGCCCACACTGGCGCATTTGTTAGAGTGGAGATCTAATATAATTCCCAGAAACTCTAGTCACAGGGAAATACTACAAGTCTAAAATTTGCTGATGGGCTGTCCGAAAGGGTTATGCAGCGCTGATCAACCACTACTCTCAACAGAGGAGTTCGCATAAGAGGATGATGAGCATATTCATAATGTGTCAACTACTCGCAACAAAGGGTTATGCAGCACTTATGAATATTATAAGAGGATTGAGGATATTATTATTCAAGACATTAGCATATGCTCATCATCTTTAATCCTCTTAATATTCATAAGTAGACACATTAGCTGATTAAAGTTGTTAATGTCTTGAATAATAATATCTTCTTCCATCTTTGAAGAATAAAGATCCATTCTTAAACACAATCTGTTGGACAACAACTTTGACGCATAAATAATCTTGAGTTTGTCACACAACCTATTTGGCACGATCTACTGCATACTATTGTATTTGATCTCGGGAGCAAGTACCAAACAAATTATGTTGACAACCTTCTTTTGCATGGAACTACATTCATTATCATTTAAACCTTTATGATTCATATCTTCTAAAGGATGATCAAGATGTTGTTTCGCCAAAAGATCTTGAGTACATTATCACAACGTAAAACTTGTCTTTCTATTGAAAAGCACCAAAAGTGTCATCATGCTCCAACCACAACCAAATTAGAAGCTGAATTTTGTAGAACCAATGTCAAAGACAAACTTAACACATCAATAAACCATAGGACCAACTACTGGATCATAAAAATCTACTTTTAATTCACTGATCTACTGACGAATAATATCAACTGTTTGATCTGAACTTAAAATCAGTTAAATGATAAATCCAAATCCTCCTCACATGATTCCCATAAGAAAACTAATTCACATGAATTCCTTTGGCTTCATGTGTTTATTCTCGCACGTGGCTGTATTCATGCATTCTTTCTCCAAGTAAATATTATAACGTGCTTCTCTTGTTTACTGTTTCTGAGCGCACTAAAACCCTCTAGCGAACCCAAGCAACTTTTGATTGTAAAGCCTATCTTATCCAATTACCCCCTTTTTGCAAACCACTGTTCATCACCTCCATCAACCACCGACCATTAGACCACCGACCTTGGACTACCGTCTCCACTACTTGCACCGGTGAGTTCTTTAGGGAGAATAAATAATCAAAATAGTTCAAATTTTTGGGTTTTTTTATCTTTATGAAAATTTTTAGATAGGGGCTGTTTGGTTCGTTTCCTAGATATAAGGAAATGCAATTCCATGGAAAGAAACACAAGTTTGTAGTTTTCCAAACTTTTCCAAGAAATAGATTGTTTTGGTTTGGTTCGCACAAAAAAATGGTGGGAAACCAATGTTTTTACTTTTCTTGTGTTTGGTTTGCATGAGAAAAAAAGGGAAAACTTTTGTTGATTTGACATTTCCCACTTTTCTTGTGTTTGGTTGGTTTTGAAGTGTGTAGGGAAAAGTGTTTAGAGTCACCAAGGTAAGATTACCCCCACTATAGACAAAAATTATTTGTGCTAGTTATGGGATGTAATCTTAATCATATAAAAGTGCGAATGTATCATGAACAAATAATAATATCCCGAATGAATTATAAATTTCTGTTTGTATTAATGAAATCATATGAAACCTGAAATCATATGAAACCTACTGTAACATGAACTGCGTACCTGATTTAACCTAAAATATACCTTATTGAGATGAAAAAATCACACGAAACCTGTTTTTCAGGAAAAAAATAAACGAGACATGTAATACACTGATTATTCATAATTTTATGAAATACGTACCTGAATTAGCCAAAATTCTTATGAAACCTATAAAAAATATATAAACAACCTGATTAGCCATAAATATGTATATAACATAGCAAATCGCATCAAACTTGGAAATACCAAACATGTACGTAATGGCTGAGGGCTCAGAATTTGGTCAATATCTTCATTGTTAGCCGTCCAGTGCAATATCAATAGATATTGCAGGTTGCTAATCTTAGAAATTTTGATAATCATCATAGCCTAAACAAAAAAAATTGACAAGCAACAAAACTATTTACAAAACTTCACAAACACTGAACGTCATCAAAACTAAACATAAAACTTCACCTGAGCACAAACCTGAACACGAAACAATCTCACAAACACTGCCTGAACACTAGATAGTCTCACAAAACTGAGCACACAACTGCATGAACAGCCTGAACACTAGATAGTCTCACAAAACTGAGCACACAACTGCATGAACACAAGACAGTCTCACTAAATCTGAGCACAAAACTTCTCACAAACCTAAACACAAAGAAAATACCAAGGGGCTGAACACAAACAGTGCACAAAAACTGAAAATATGTGCACAAATCCTGAACACAAAACTCTGCACAAATAGCAACCAAAACCCCAACAACATAGAGCTAAACAAGCTCGAATCAGCATAGTAACAAAAAACAGCCACGGGAGCTCGGCGAGGAGCACAAATAGCAACCAAAAACCCAACAACATAGGGCTAAACAAGCTCGAATCATCATAGTAACAAAAAATAGCCATGAGAGCTTGGTTTGCACATAGTAACTGAATACATGTAAATGTTTGTGTTCTAGTAACTGAATACAAAAAATAGTAACTGAATACAAAAAATAGTAACTGAATACAAAAAATAGTAACTGAATACAAAAAATAGTAACTGAATACAAAAAATAGTAACTGAATACAAAAAATAGTAACTGAATACAAAAAATAGTAACTGAATACATGTAAATGTTTGTGTTCAGGTAACTGAATACATGTAAATGTTTGCACATAGTAACTGAATACAAAAATAGCCAGGCTTCCACATAGTAACTGAATACATGTAACAACCATGCCTCCACAAGTACTAAAATAGCATTTGGGGTGTATGCATAGAGGGCTTGGTTTGCATAATGTGTCTCACCATGGAAATGTTTGTGTTCAGGTATATAACATGAGGGAAAGAAACAGTCTCACCAAGGAAATGTTTGTGTTCGGGTAAATGTATAAAGTAAATGTATAATTCAAGCGCGAGTATATGCAAATTACGGCTTAGGGCTCAGAACTTCGTCAATATCATCATTGTTAGCCATCCAGTGCAATATCAATTGCAGGTTGCTAATCTCAGAAATTTTGACAATCATCATAGCCTAAAAGTAAAAAAGTCACCAACTAAAACTCATGACATAACAATATTTTCATTAATAACCCACAGTAGTAGCCATCCAATACAATGTAGATACATTGTAGGTTGCTTACATACAGTTTTTTTTAGTTGTCATGTATATGGTGACTAATAAAGTTCCTGCAAACACAAGTTCAATGTAAAATTAGTATTCTACAATCATCACATAATGTTGGTAGCCACTGCCAAATATTTTTCATAGGCCTTTTATGACTTGAAATGACAATAAATACAAATAATCATGATACACACCATAGCTTAATTCATATTTCCAAAGTTAGGATTGTGTCACGATACACACCGTAGCATTTAAATAATTCTAAATCATGCAAAAATCATGCAAAAATCAGAAAGGCAGTGAAAAAAAACCAAATCGAATAACACGGTGAAATTATACCTGCAATTGCCGAAATTCAACAAATCAAGCAAAAATCCGACAAAATACCCTCAGAAAGGCAGTGATTTCCCCAAATCCGACGAAAATTCGACGAAATCACAAAATACCACACACACCCATATTATGAATCTCAGAACTTAACATTGTAGGTTGCTAGAAACACCAACCAACAATACCTCAATAAACACCAAAAATGATCATAATAACCCCTTCTCAGTCAAAATCCGACGAATTTCATATCTCAACATCAAACTGAAAATGATCACAATAAATGTCTCCTTAGTCAAGCCAAGTCAGTTCATCATCACCCTAACCACAAATGATCACAATAACCTCTTCTTCCTCCTCTAATCCAACACAATTCATCATCACCCTAACCACAAAATCATAAATTTAAAGAAAATGTGTAGAGTTTAGGAACTCACCGAGCAATTAACAGCGACAAAGAAGCCGACGATGAAGGCGAAAGACGAAGACGGCGAAAAACCCTAGCCGACGAAAAAGCCGACGAAAAAAGGCCGCGGGGGATTTCTGGCGGGGAGGAGAGGTAACCCTAGCATCCCAAAAAAAATCAACCAGAAAAAGGAGAGAGCGATTGTCAGAGCTGGCAGTGTTTTCATCGATTTCTCTTCGGTGAGGAAGGAAATCGCGGAGAGGAAAAAAGGCTGATGTGGCGGTGTTTTCACCATCGTTTCCCCCTTTCAACCCTAACGAACCAAAGCGA